GACTCCACCCTCGGAGAACCCGACTCAGCACTGGGGTGGGCCCAGGATCTGGATTTTAATAAGCTTCCAGGTGATTCTGATGGACAGCCAAGTTGACAGATGGGCAAATGGAGGCCCAGGGAGGGCACCGAGCTTAGGAAAGCCCTGGTAGCTGCAGGCAGCAGAGCCTGGGACTTGAATCCTGGCGTCAGGAATCCCATCCCAGTGCTCTCTGTTGTGCCATTGAATGGAAGAGAAACTTGCCTTCAGCACAGCAGGTAGAGCTAAGACCTCCGGCCTCCTCCACCCCCACTTGCAAGAGCTCGGGTGACAGTGACAGACAGGCAAATTGAGGCCCCAGGTGTAGAAAGGTTCCAAAGAGAGCTGCTCCACTGGCATGGTGGCTCATACCTGTAATCTCAGCACTTTGGGAGGCCGAGGCAGGAGGATCACTTGAGGCCATGAGTTTAAGACTAACCTGGGCAACAAAAGGAGACCCCTGTCTCTATTTAAAAAAGAGAGAGAGAGCTGCCTCTCATATCGGTTGTCTTGGAAGGCCACCCATCACTGGAGGGCTCAGATGTAGGCTGAGGATGTGCTCAGCTGGGAGGCCTTGGGGGTTCCTGTGTGGGGCAGACAGACCCCGGAGGCCCCTCCACTCTGCAGTTCCTAGATCCCATGATTGAATGTGGGCATCAGAGGCCTTCGTGGGATAGAAAAGCAAGGACAGGAGTCAGGCCAGAAGAATGTGGTCCTGCCTGCTTTCCACAGCGCAGCCAGAGGGTGAGGGTGGCTCAGCGCAGGGGGTCCCACGGGATCCCACAGGAGGGCGGCCGGCACTTCATGCAGCCAGCCCACACAGGGTGGGACTCCTCCACATCCTCTCCGGGCAGGGCAGGATTTTGGAAGCCTTGCTGTGGGATCCAAGCTGAGTGGGCTGGGAGCGGGTGTGGACTGGAGCAGGAGCTAGCGTGGCCTCCTTGGCCAGGAGGCAATGCCCAGCCGCCAGCAGCAGCTGATAGCTACACGGAGCAAGGAGGGACAGCTGCAGAGATTCTGGTGCAGGTGAATTGGATATGCATTCGACAGACTCCAGAGGAATGTGAAAGTGTCCAGACCCAGCTCCAGCGCCAGACAGGGCCAGCTGCAGAGGGGCACTGAGGCCTGGGGAGGAGGAGAGAAGGCCCAGCTTGCAGGACAGCCAAGAGCAGAAGGCAGGCCTTGTGCAGGAAGACATGTGAATGGGACTAATTACGACTGGCATTTATTGAGCACTTACCACGTGCAGAGCCCGTGCTAAGCACTTTATGTCTGTTTGTTTACTCCATTCTGTGACCCAACGTGAGGCCCAGAGACAGTATGTGATTGGCCAGGGTCACACCACCAGTGAGGATTGGAGCCAAGGCTGATCCCAGTACTGTCTGACGCCACAGCCCACATCCTGACTTTGGGGGTAGAGAAGATCATACAGTAGAGTTCATTTAATTCACCCAGTGCTTGGATCTTGACTCTGCAGTAAAGTGTTATATATGGAATCTTGAATACCTCCTCTGACAGAGAGCTCATTACCTCACAAGGCACCCTATTGCACCTTGGTTCAAAACTAAGAATGGCTGGACTCCCGCATTTCCTGGCTCTGCCACTCAGGACGGTCAGTTTTGTTCAGATAGTGAATTATAAATCTTTCCAAAAGCAGGAAACATGAGACAAATTTGAGTGGTGCTGGAAGACACCCTGAAACACACAAGGTTTGCCTCCAGGCTGGGCCGCTCCTGGCCATGGAGATGCCTGCAAAACCTTCCAGGAAAGGATGGGAGATGTGGTTCCTAGGGCAGCGGGAGGCGATCAGGCCCCACCCCGGGAGTTCTTTGGTCCTCGCGTGTCCTCCCTGTATCCTCTCAGTTCTCACTGCTCCTCAGTGTGTCCTCACAACCATCCTCAAGATCCCATGGACAGGGGTTACCCAAGAAGACTGGTGTGTGCATCAGGGCCACGCCAGCCATGCCCTCCCCTTGCCTTCCTTAGGGACTTTGCCCATCACCTCCATCTACCTAACAGTGCATCCCTCATCCTCCACCCACTGACATCTACTCAAATACGACCTCCTCCATAAAGCCTTCCTGGATTTCTCTTTCCGACCAAGCTGTTTCTCTCCCAGCTTGAACCTCTCCTGGTCTCTCTCTCTCCTCGTGCTGTCTTGGGTGGAGTTCAGCGCTCTGCAAACCATAAGCTGCATGCCCATAGGGCCTGAACTGAGTGTGGTGGTTCCCTGGCTCTGCTGCCGCTGGGGCACAGTCTGTGGGGAGAGTGTGGTACAATTTCTGCAGACT